AGCGTAGGGTGGAAAGACAGGAGACAAGAATCCATCGTCTCAGTGATTCTGGCTGGTGTCACAGTCCTGTCTTTGCTCTTCTAAAAGACACATAACAGGACAGTGGTTGAAACCTGTGAAATCTGTTCATAAGGAGACCATCCACTTGCACACAGAAGAACCCCAGAAGTGTGCCTGAACCTGCCCATTGTGCCAGTTCCACTGTGAGCATTTCCACAGCCCTACCCAGCCACCCTGGGCCCACTGTTCTTGATTTACACTGCTGGCAGGCCTAGGGGAAGTGTCATTTCCTCCTAAAGGATACTGAACACAGGATGTGGGGTCACGCTTCAGCACTAACTGGATGGGAGAATTCCTATTTGCTTTCTGATGTTTGTGCTGAGTTGGGGTTGGTGTGTGTGTGAAGGGGATATGGTTACAGAGGTCAGAACCAGAGCAGGTCTAGCAGGACACACTCTCATTCTATGGGCCCAAGAATGAACGGCACTGGTGTATTGTTTCTCTGCAAAGTGCTTGGGGAAGAGTGGCAGATAATAGAAAGGTGTTTGAAAGGTGATGATGTGGTTGATTCTCAGTGATTCAGGACAGTGGAAGTTAGCGTTGCAGCACACTTTTCTTTAATAGTCAACCTAGAAGTCATTATTGCAGTACTGGGGTTTGAACTCAGTGGGGCTTTGTGTTTGGTAGGCAGGCACTCTACTACTTGTGCCATGTCCCCTGGCCCTTTTTGTGCTTTAGTTATTTTTCAGATAGGTTCTGATGTTTTTAGCCTGGGGCCAGCCTCAAACTGATCCATCTACCAATAGCTTTTGTGTAACTGGAATTAGAGGCATACTCCACAATGCTAAATTTATTTCTTGAGATGGGATATAGTCTTACTAGACGTGAATGAATCACTTAATCTAGTTTAATATTGTTTGCCTTGAATTATGCTCTGATAGCAATACTAGTTTATTTTAACTGATTTCTTTGTGCTTGCATTTGTATGATAAACAATTGTCTCCCTTTCTCCAAAGTTATCCAGGTTATTGCTCTAGGTGTATTCTAAGAGGTAGCATCTGCAGAGAGCCTTTCTGGCTGAGTTCACTTTATATTATTATGATGATGATATCATTTCCCTTCCTTCTGACATCTTAGTTTTCCTTTTAATGTTACTCTATTTTTTTGTTTGGTCTCTTGCTGCACAGATTTCTTCCTCAGACAGCCAGACAGTACAAATTTAGTTTTTATTCTATAATCAATCACATTAAAGAAAATGATTTGGGAGCCTCTTTCTCTGATAGCTGATATTAAGAATGAAACAAGGTTAATCTCTCCCCAAATAGATAAGGAAGTGAGCATTCTTTCTTTGTTTTTATTTTCTCTCCTTTCTTTTTCCTTACATTATTGACCTAATATGGCGCTTCATTTGTACTTTTAAAATGTTATAGGAATATTTACAGCAGCTGTTTAATATCAGGTATATGTTTAATAGTTTCAATTCTCTCTTCCAGTTTGATGTTGCTATTTCTATATTTATTTATCTGTCAGAACAATGACTTAAGTCTTTTCCTCACTGAGAAAATGTGATCATCTGAGAATGTCTTTCTTGTGGGAATAGAATGGAGTAAAGATAAAACTCATGTCATCACAACTTTCTGTTCTTACAATTCTGTAGTGATTCACGTTGGTTTTGGCAACTTAAAGCTTTGAAAGAGAAGTTTGATGAAGCTGTGACATTGTTTTCCTCCTTTGTCCTCTATCTTTCAGGAAAATACAACAAGCTTCTGTTCTCCATGCTTTTAACGCATTTATGCAAATGTGCATGTATACACTCGCATTTTCAGTCTCTCTCACACACTTCAAGTTTAGTGGCTTACTTTCGTTTTTTTTTCTTTGTTCCAGGTCTCATTTAGGTTCCAGGTCTCATTTCATTTTTATTTCTGCCTTTCATCCAGCTTCCTCTCTGCTATTATGTTCTCTTGTCACCTTATTCTTTATCTGGAGTTGGACTCCATTTTTACAGGTTTTATGAAAGTACAAAATAGGTGTTACCTAACTTTACCATCACTCATCTCCATTTATGTTTATGTTTATCAATCCAGGTGTCACGTAAGTATGTCCGCCTCCTTCTTCCTCTCCTGGGTAGAATAATTTCATAGGTATTTTGGGGGAGAAGGGCTTCCTGATTACTTATCCTAGGAAGGTAAAAGTTCTGTCTATGATTTATATTGCCTTCTGAATAAAATAGATTGCCTTCTGTTGATCTCACATCTTATTGGTGAATGTTACTGGGCTTATGTTAGCTCTCCTTGTGAAGGGTTTACTGCTGGGGGGGTGGGGGTGTGCCTTCTTTTGGGAAGCAGCTGTGAAGGGAAGCCCATCCCCTTGAACTTTACTTCTGAGCACCTTGCTGTCTTGGTGAAGCCCCTGGCCTCGGGTCAGCTCAACCTTGCCTGCTTTCACTGTGGTGCTGCGGCACTGTGTTAGCAAAGCTGTGAGTCACTTTGTCAACCCAGGCCTTCTGTCAGTGGAACAGTTACATCTAAAGGCTTCTACTCTGAAGTCCTTCCTTGTTGCAGATTTCTGGTGTGCTAAGCAATGACTGTTATTATTGTCATCAGTAGTAATAGTAGTGTATATAATTTTTGCCTTGGCTTTTTTTTGTTTGTTTGTTTGTTTTTTTGTACAATACTCAGAGCCTGGGTACTGTCCCTTAGCTTCTCGCTCAAGACTTATGCTCCACTTCTGGCTCTTTTTGGTGGTTAAATTGGACATAAGAGTCTGATAGGTTTTCCTGCCTAGACTGGCTTCAAACCATGATCCTTAAATCTTAGCTTCCTGAGTAGCTAAGATTATAGGCATGAGCCACCAGGTCCTAGCTTGCCCTGGCTACTTGTCAGAATTGCCTGGTGAACTGTAGACACACACACACACACACACACACACTCACATTGACACATCCTTCGGAGGTGCAGTTAGAACTGTACACACACACAAACACACACACACACACACACTCACATTGACACATCCTTCGGAGGTGCAGTTAGAACTGTACACACACACAAACACACACACACATACTCACATTGACACATCCTTCAGAGGTGCAGTTAGGTTTGGGGGTCACTGGGCTATGGCTTCATAAGAACATTCCTTGCTGATTGTCCCGTACCCTGTCTGGCTTCTCCATGGGCTCCTCTCTTCCTTTTCAATCTGAAATGTCTCCCTTTAGCTTGTTCCCTTCTGTGTTGTGCTAAGCAGAAATGTCTTCATGCTTCTGCTTTGTGTGTGGCAACTAACCTTTTTTTTTAAAACCCAGATGCAAATTTTGACCCATTTTTACTTATTCTCAGTCACTTCTGTCGGAGTGGGCGTGGGAAGTGGAAGCCAGATGCCTTTGCTCACATTACCATCCTCCTTGAATTCAGACTGTAATGGCTAAGTGATGTGAAAATTAATCTCAACTGGGAACTGCGCACACGGTATCCTGCTTGGGTTGGTGTGTGGAGAGACATAGACTTTCTGTGTTATTTCTTACATCTTTTCATCCATGCATGTCTTATATGCATACATTTTGTGTTCCTTAAAATTATGTGCATGCATGTGTGTATTTTTTCCTTTGATGTCCTTATGAAATCTTTCAAAGAAAAATAGTGAAGGTAAAAAACAAACACATATGATAGGTCTTCATGTCCTTTCTCATATCATAGTGTTACATTTTCTAATTATAGTTAGGAATATTTCCTCTTTGTTGATGGCCTTGTGCTGCCTGCTAGTGATATTGAAGATGCCATAAACAATGCCGATATTTGGCTAGATTTGTTATTACCATTAATCCTTCTTAAGTGATAAGCAAATGCATATTAAAGGTAGTTATAAAATAGTTTCTCTCTGATAGACTTTTTTTTGTCTTTATGCTCATTAGGTATGCATGGCATCACTTGAGCCATACTCTAAACCTTTTTGCTTTAATTTTTAAAAAATAGGGTCTCACTTTTTGTCTGGAGCTAGGATGGACCTCAACCTTCCCACTTAACTTCCTGTATAGCCGGGATGACAGATATGTACCATGTTACCAAGCTTTTTATTGATTAAGATGTAGTCTTGCAAACTTTCTTGGCTGAGCTGGCTTCGAACCTCTATCCTTTTAGTCTTAGTCCCTTGACTAGCTAGGATTATAGCAGTATAAGTCAGCACACCTGGCTAAGAAGCCCCATCTTTTTGACTCCACTAAGAAAAGCAAAACACTGCAGGAATGATTTTGACTGCAGGAGGTATAAATGACTTTTTCTATACAATAGTGGGAACAAGTCTGTGTTTTGATTATTTTATTGCATTAGATGAGTCTAGCTGAGTGGCTCTGGAAATACTGTCTTCAGGGAGAGTTAACAGGTTCCTGGCTGGTCATCTGCTTTCTGTTGTTTTCTAGGATGGAAGGCACCTCCCTGAGACTTCTAATTCATGGTCTTCAATATCACTTACCTTTTTCCTTATTTGAAGACTTTCCCCTTAATCTCAGACTTTCAGCTACTAATAGGCTTGCCTTCATGACTTTTTACGATGGATTGTCCAAATGATAGCAATAAGTTTCTACAAAGATCACAGTTTTATTAGTTTACAGTAGTTTTCAAATCGTGGACTATCTCAACAGCTTGTAAGAAAGCAAGCTGGATCACTTGGTGATGAGAAGACTGAGGTTTAGAAGGATCCCAAAACTTAGCTAAAACCAGGCAGCTAAGAAATTGTAGATTTATTGCAGAGCATACTCACATCTGTAATCCCAGCCACTGGGAGGCTGAAGTAGGAAGATTATGTGTTCAAGGCCAGCTTGGGCCACCCTACACAGGAAGCTCTAAGAGGAAAAATATTTTAGAGTCAGAATTTGATACTAAACCTAATTCTTATCCCATTAAACACCCTAACAGTTCTATGGAGGTGTCTGGAGTTTCACTTGGATGTAACCATGTTATGTGTTGCTAAGATGATACAATCTTTCTTATGTTCTTATATTCTAGAAGGAGATCTCTTAGAAGATGATGGGAGTTTCAATGTTTCAGTAATCAATGAAACTTGTTTGAAATTGAACCAGCAGTCTAAGAAAGTTGGATCAGAACGAATATACCAAGTAAGAAGATCTCTTATACTGTCATAGAATTGGTCACTTAACTACTTGGGTGAATTTCAAGGCAGTTAAGATTTTCTTTCTAGACATGGATATTAGGTACGAGGTGGCTTTTGGTGAGGACTGAAATTAAAAGAATTTTAATATTTGGTGATGATGTTGTTGATGATGATGATGATGATGGTTTTGTGTTAGTGAACCCAGTGCCTCACATGTTAGCCCCTATTCCCAGCCCTGCCGCTGAAGAACTGTAAGCAGGCATAACATTCAAATTTCCATATTAGAATCCTTGGGGCTAGATACACATTAAAGATATGGGGTAAAAATGATTTTCAAATCTATAAAGAATGTATGGCTTCAACAAACAGTTTTGGGACATTTAGTTAACTCTGGCTAAGGTGATAAAATTTTTTAAAAAGTTGCTATTTTATATATGTTGGATAAAGATTAAGGAATATGTGGAATTTTCTTTTTTTTTTTTTTTGGGGTCCGGTCGTGGGGCCTGAACTCTAGGCCTGGGCGCTGTCCCTCAGCTCTTCAGCTCAAGGCTAGCACTCTACCACTTGAGCCACAGCGCCACTTCCGGCTTTTTTCTTTTTGCTTATGTGGTGCTGAGGAATCGAACCCAGGGCCTCAGGCATGCAAGGCAAGCACTTTACCACTGAGCCATCTTCCCAGCCCATGTGGAATTTTCTTAAATCCACTGGAAAGAAGCAGACATTCAAAAATGGGTTGCATAAGCCAAGCACTAGTGGCTCACACCTGTAATTCTAGCTATTCAGGAGGCTGAGATCTGTGGGTTTCAGTTCAAAGCTGGCCCTGGCAGGAAAGTCTGTGAGACTTGTATCTCCAATTAACCACCAGAAAACTAGAAGTGAAGTTGTGGCTCAAAGTAGTAGAATGCTAGCCTTGAGCAAAAGAACTCAGGGATAGCACCCAGGCCCTGAGTTTAAGCTCATCAAACACCCAACACAACAGCAAAAAGAGTTGCATAAGAGAATGTGCATTTTGCCTGAGCACATGTGAACACACACCTTGCTAGTAATCAGTTCTCAATATAGTGAGTGCACCCAGCTCTCAGCAGGAGCTGCTCAGATGATGAGTCTGATGTGTGGTTATAATTTTGGGTCGCTGAAGGGGAGTTAACCAAGATTATAATCCAAGATTAAGCTCGTAGTATGGCACTCAAAGAACTCAAAGGATCTGTTTTGATGGCTTGTGTATGGAGACATTTTATCTAAGAACTCAAGAAGAAATCAAGGAGTTGAGGGAAAGAAAAATCTTTAGGATCCAGTTGTCAGAGTCTTTGATGACCTGGAAGATGGATGAGGAAGACTCAGCAATTGGCCATGATGAGGAAGGATGAAAGATGGTCCAGTCAATGATGTGAGGATCAGTCGAAGGGATATATACGTACTTGTCATCAGATCATGCACTGATTGGTCAAGAGTTGGGCACACGGTACTTCTGGGATCCTCACAAAAGTGTTTCCAATAAAACTTCTAATATTTGCTGCTTGACTGGCAGGGATCAAGTATGATTGAGTTAGCAATGTGTCTGTTCACCCCATGGACCGGGGTTCTTGTGGGAAGAGTTGAGTGAAGTCCCATTGCAGTACTGCTTTCAATGCATAATCTGCGGTAGTCCTCAGAAAGAGGAAGCGCTCTGCATTAGGAAACTTGTCTGAGGAAACAGAAAGAATTTTGCCCACTAGCTACAGTGCAATCTCTTTCCCTTAAGCAGGTGTCAAAGGGTTACTTGAAAACAGACTGACATTCTATTCATTGAAGATGTATTTATTCATCTGAGATTCATTAGTGAATGCAATTTAATCTTAGTCACATACATGGTTGGAAAGGAAATGGAAGGGGGTAGATAAAATAGTTTGCTATTGTATTGAAAAGAATTCTGAGAGGGTGAGTATACATAGAAAGAACTTTCTACTCTATTTCTGCTTTGCATTTGGTCTAGACATCTGCAAGCCAACAGAATATTTAATATATCATTGTCTCTGAATCTCATGCCAGTTTAAAGTCCTAGGCCAAAGGTGGTATCTGGATAGCTTTTATCATGCAACCTCATTTAACCTGACGACGCGGGAACACACACCGGAAGTGTGTTTGCCTCTGTTCCCTGCCACTGATTACACTGTGAACATCACCGGACTGGGACCTCGTGAGCATCAGGTGCAGATAACCATGACAACCGCACCCACAGGTGGGTGTCCATGCATTTCTGTTTCCTCCTATGTGAATTCAACAATAGGGCAGAGGAGTATAAGGATGGGAGACAGAAGCTTTGGTTTCTAGTTCTAACAGACTACCAGCTTCATCTGGGGTCACTTGCCAGTTAGTCTCTTCTCTACAGGCTAGAGCTATAGAAGGCTTAGATGAACAGGCTCTCCCTGCCACCCCTCCCCCTTTTGCTTGAGATCTCTGATAATCCAAGATTGAGAATTCTCTTAGGTCTTTTATCTCTTTCCTTCAATTTTAGACAGCCCTATTCCTTATGCAACTATTCAACTAGAACCAACTTGCAGGAGACTGAAACATGATCCTCACTGGGCACTGCAGAGCTCAGAGGCCTCATGGTTGGGCCAGGAGTGAGCACATGGACTCCATTGACTCACGGCTCACATGGAGGCCAGAGGTCTCATGATAGGCCATTTGTGGAAGTCACATAGAAGTTGGTGTCCACTCCATACCTCCTTGTACCTAGTGGAAAAGGATGAAAAGTTAACCCCGCCTCTCCCCTCCCTTCCTTTCCTCAATTCATTACGGTTGTGGACAAGTTCTCAGGAACTTCCAGCATGAGTGAATGCTACATTGGAGAAGGAGGTTTGGTTATGTGGGCGATTGTGTCTGCAGGGAACCCTTGCCTGGCTTATCCATCGAGTCTCAGGCTCGAGCCTAGGAGAGGACAGTGAGTAGAGTGTCATTATTATTTACTTCTTGGAGGTTGGAGATACAACAAGTGCATGCTTGAGCTCAGGCAGGTCACAGAGAGCAAGCATCTGCTTCTTGTTTGGTGGCCTGTAACATATGAACTCTGGCCACTAGGGAATGTGACCCAAGAAATGGGAGTGTCTCACCATTCAGTAAATCTTACATTTGCTATTCCTTGAGGAGTGAGTCAGGAATGGTTCTTTCCTATATGGAAATGAGAAGACAGGTAAGTGGCACCCTTTAACATACTTGAGCAAACTAATCGACTCCTGTAATGTTAGGGGTGGAACAGAAAGGCCAGTTATCAATGCAGGAGTCAATGTTTTTACCACTTTGACCACACCTCCACGTCCGGTTTTCTAGTGGTAAGTTGGAGATAAGAGTCTCGTGGATTTTCCTGCCCAGGCTGGCTTTGAAATACAATCCTCAGATCTCAGCCTCCTGAGTAGCTAGAATTACAGGCAAGAGCCACTGGCACTGGCCTCTGTTTTCTTTTCTCTGTTTTCTCTGTCGCTGTTGCACTCTCCTCTTCTTTTTTTCTCAATACTGAGGATTGAACTCAGGGTGGCATACGTGCTAGACAAGTCATATACCATCTGAGCCACACCCCACTCTTTTGTTCCTGTTTTTTTTTCAAAGTAAGACTTTCATAAGTCAGGCTAGTCTTCAACTTATGATCATCCTGCCTCCAACTCTTAAACAGTTGGAATTAGGTATATACCACCATGCCTAGTCAGACAGTTATTTCAACAGTCACATTTTTTATCTGTATTTATTTCACTAATCTATTAAATGTTGTGTTCTTAGTAATATATAATTTATTCATATCCTACGAGCATTAATACTTACATCAAATATATATTTATATCAATCGTTTCCCATTTTATGGTTCCTTTTAGTTTTATTATACTTTTCACATGAATGTTTTAGATTTCAATGTAGTCTAATCTATGGATCTTTCCTTTGTAATTTATTACATTAATATTAAATATATAATATGTTTTTTTTTTAAAAAAAGAGTACTTATATCCTGTCTTATGTCTAGGAGAAACTAGTGACTTGTATGAATATACAGAATAAAAGATAATAGAAGTCTAAATAGAAGAAGAAAGAAAACAAGGGCAGGCATAGAAACATGGAAGAGGAAGATTAAGAATAATTTATATTGAATATAAATCTATAACAGATATAAATTACTAGTGCCTCATTAATTTGAACCGAAGTTTTCTACCCATTTAATCAGAAAAGGAGACATTATGTTGCCCATAAGGCTTAGCCTGCTACTAATTTTTATTCTGGGGGAGAAGGGGGAGATCTCAGAAATAGGGAAATGTATAAGCATTATTTTCCAAAGAGTTTATAACACTTTATTTTTCTTATATTGCCCTTCACATGGCTCATTGTATATAATGAGATACCAAAATGCTTACTCTTGGTTATTTTAATTGTTTAGAATATGGTTGGAGTCCATTTCTTTCAAGCAGTGTGTTCTAAGTATTGTTTCTGCCAACTTGAGATTGGACAAAGGTTTGGTCTCATCACACTTGAGACTGTTTACTCTCCTGTGTCTCCAGGGAACAATTGTTCTGGGTTACTACTTGAATAACAAGAACTTTTGCCTGACCATGGCTGCCCTCTCTGTTGGAAAGTTGAGCCCAGGTAACTAAGCAAGGGAATTATTTGAATCTGCTCAGTCAGTGAGTATCAGAATTCATCTCCCTACAATGTCTCCCATTATTGATCATTTATCTTCCTCATGCTTTACATAAGGTTGTGGCTGTGAATTCTAGCTTTTAGCCTTAAAATATTCTTTGCCATATTCAATGGGTTCAACTTGAATTTCCTCTTTGTCTTCCATCATAATTGTGACTCTGATCCCTCATGGCGTCCATTGGCTGTCCTATTGCCTGTCACTACATCTTTGGTCTGCCTGGTTTATATGTCTCTCTTGGGCACAGCATGTAGTTGAGTCTTTCATTAGAAGAATATAGAATTTTTTTTTGATAGCTAACTTAAGTCCATTTACAGGTTATTGGTAGTACTGAAGTTTCACTCAATCTCATTCTATTATTTTATATTATTGGTAGTATGTGTGTTATATACTGGTTCTTTTTCTATGTGCTATGCTTTCTTTACTATTTTACTTTTTTTTTTTTTTTTACACCGAAAAATACTCTGTCTCCTGTTTTTGTGTTAAACTTTTCACACTGCTAGCCAGTTTTGGGTAGCATGCTTAAACTCTTATATAGTGCATGTATGTCATTCAGTTAGCTTATTCTATTTTCTTTTTTCTCTGTCCTTTCTCCTCCCAGCTTTCAGTTGTATGATTTCTATTTTATCAGAACCTATACCATGTATATATTATTCTTATATCTTGTCTTGTCTTTGAGTCTTAGAGCTGTGCTTAATAGTCAGTCCTCTTATTATAGTTCCCCCAGTTATCTTTTGGATGAAGATCATCTTCTATCCTCAGGAGTAAAGTATTCCTTGAATTTTTGTATGGATAGAATTGAGCCTTGAGACTTAAAAGACAGTTTGGCTGGATATAAAAATCCAGGGACCAGGCACCAGTGGTTTACATGTATAATCCTCCTAACTCAGGAGACTGAGATTTGAGGATTGTAGTTCAAAACCAACCTGAGTAGACAAATAAGAGACTTTTACCTCCAGTTAACTAGCAAAAAGCTGGAAGTGAAAGTATGGTTCAAGGGGTAGAGTGCCAGTCTTGAGTGAAAAAGCTAAGCAGGACACACACACACACACACATTTTGGGTAGGGTATTTCTTCAGTGATCCTTATTAAATCTTACTGTAATCAAGTCTTTTTCTTTTTTTCTTTTTCTTTTGACTGTATTGAGATGTGAACTCAGGGCCTTATTCTTCTTAAGAAAATACTCATCACTTTAGCTGTACTTTCAGTTCTTTTTTACTTTTAAGTTACTTTTTTAGATAAGATCTCATGTTTTTCACTGAGGCTAGCATTAGACCAAGATTCTCCTATCTATGCTTCTCACTTGGGATTGCAGGAGTACACTACTATATCAGACTTACTCTTTGCAATTCCTAGGGTCTTGCTAATTTTTCTTCCGAGGCTGGCTTTGAACCACAATCCTTCCTTTTTTTTTTTGTCAGTTGTGGGGCTTGAACTCTGGGCCTGGGCACTGTCCCTGAGCTCTTCAAGGCTACCACTCTGCCATCTGAGCCACACTACCACTTCCAGTTTTCTGAATGGTTTATTGGAGTTAGGAGTCTCACAGACTTTCCTGCTGAGGCTGGTTTTGAACTGCGATCCTCAGATCTTAGCCTCCCAAGCAGCAGCTAGGATTACAGGCATGAGCCACTGGCGCCCCGCTTGCAGTTTTTTTTTTTTTGTTGTTGTTGTTTTTGTTTTTTGCTGGTCCTGGGGCTTGAACTCAAGACCTGGGCACTGTTTCTTGAGCCTCTTTGTGCTCAAGGCCAGCATTCTACTACTTGATCCACAGTACCACTTCTTGCCTTTTTTTTTTTTTGGGTCTAGTCGTGGATCCTGAACTCTGGGCCTGGGCACTATCCCTCAGCTCTTCAGCTCAAGGCTAGCGCTCTATCACTTGAGCCACAGCGCCACTTCTGGCTTTTTTCTTTTTGCTTATGTGGTGGTGAGGAATTGAACCCAGGGCCTCATGCATGCAAGGCAAATGCTCTACCACTGAGCCCCCTTCCCAGCCCCCCTCCTTTTTTTTGGAGTAGTTTATTGCAGATAAGAGTCTCTTGAGGACTTTTCTGCCCAATCTGGCTTCTAACCTTGATCCTCAAATCTCACCTCCTGAGTAGCTAGGATTACAGATGCAAGCCACCAGCGCCAGCTCCAATAAATATCTCTAGGTAACTGGGATTATAGGCTCTGAGGCATCTCACCTGACCCTAATCTGTTCTTTAGGAATCAAGAAACTTAATCTTTATTTTCTGACTTTTTTCTTTTTCCTTCATTTATTTTAAGTTTTCAATCATTTCTGTTCCATTTCTTCACCACTTTGTATCCATTTGTCTTTGTGTGTGTTTTAAAATTTTTTTTCTGAATCAAGATGTTTTCTCTTACCCTCAAATGATAGTTTGACGATATTTGTTTACATTTATTGTTAGTTTTTTCCCTCTAGTTTGTGGGTTTTAAATAAATATAGTGTTTCAGAAACTGAAAGACTTTAATTATACTTTTATTTTTAAATGAAAACTGCTCATCTACTAATTCTACAGACAGAATTGGTGATTAATAAGATTTCTAGGTTAAGCGCGCCCT